ACCATAAGGAAGGCTGAGCGCCAAAGAATTGAGGCCTTTGGTTTGTGGTGCTGGCGGAGACTCCTGCGAGTCCCTTGGAGCGCAAGACAATCCAACTGGTCAGTCCTAGAGGAGATAAACCCTGACTGCTCTTTAGAAGGCCAGATACTGAAGGCCAGACATGAAACTCAAATACTTTGGTCACCTAATGAGAAGTAAGGACTCCCTGGAGAAGAGCCTAATGCTGGGAACAATACATGGCAAAAGGGGACGGCAGAGAATGAGGTGGCTGGATGGAGTCACTGAAGCTGTTGGTGTGAGCTTAGGTGGACTCAGGGGGATGGTGGAGGACAGGAAGGCCTGGAGGAATGTTGTCCATGGGGTCGCGATGGGTCAGACATGACTTCGCGACTAACAACAACAACAAGGGATAAAACAATGAGTTAATCCTACAGATTCAAGCAAAGTTGATAGCAACACAGATTGCCTCCTTGTCTGAGCCAGATTTTTGATCCATCAAGCCCATGAGAGATATTTCTAGGGCTACTTAATACACAGGTGCCTACATATCATAACAACATATTTATTTTAAAGAATAAAATTATCATAGAATTATTCTTCTTAAAGTGTAGCTCCTACAGTTGTTGTAACTATGGAAGGTAGAACTTCATAAAGATTCAAGATGCTTTATTGTGCCATAGTTAACAAAAAATGGGCCGTAATCCAGCATGGGACACATGCTTAAGCAGGTTTAATTCCTAGAACCTTCAGATAAAACAAGAAGAACTGCTGCTTGAAACTCTGTAGAACCACTGCCAGTATTGACCAAATAGGACCAGATGAACCAATTCTTTGACTCAGTGCAAGGCTATGTTGATATTAGCCCTGCTGCACACATACACACAAGTTTATCCTTGGGAAAGTCCCTGCCTTCTCAAAGCATCTCTTGATCTTCCTCTTTTTCTCATCATTGCTACCACCTGTGGTGAGCCAACAAGCAAGAAAGCGGTGGCATCAACTGCTCATCTTTCTCACCTTTGTCTGGGCAAAGATGAGAGGTAGATGAGCAAACAGGTTGCAGGTAAAGAAGAAGAGTAAGTCCAGGGAGGTCCCATCAGTATTCCAGGGAGAAAAGCTTCCAAAACGAAGATTGGTGAAACTATTAATGAACTGTACCTGCTTAGAGTATTCTTGGGACTAATTTAATTGTGGAATATAAGTTAAATAGTCAGTCAGTCAAATAAGAGTCTGCCATTTTCAAGAATCTGAGTAAAGCCTTCTACACATGCAGTTCTCTTTCTAATATATCACTGCTGAGTTCTCAGGACTATAGTTCAATATCAGCACGTAGTATTAGAACAGTTCCATAGTAATGTATGTGTTGGCTACTGCTACAAAATTACTTTGAGGATCAGACTGAGGACCAATTGAAAATCCTTTGTTCATGTCTTTATTAAAATACACATCAAATTTAGAGTTCGAACATTCATGCAGACATGTAGAGTCCTGCTACATGATTAAAGCAAATGTCTTCATTTGTCACCTATGAATTTGTTCCCAGACTACTTTTGAAATGTTGCATGACTTTCTTGGTAATCTTCGTCTTATTTATTTATTAAAACATTTCTCTGCTGTCCCTTGCCGAAGCCTCGGGGCGGCTCACAGCGCAAAATAAAATACAATAAAATACAGAAATAACAATATAAAATCAACAATATAAAATAAATAACAATATAAATGTCTTAATCTTAGCACTATCTCCTATCAAACACTTCTTCTGCCACCTGACTGACTTACATAGTAGTTACTTTGCAAGGTACCGCTAGGGCAGGCACACCCAATTCCCATGTTCCTAAGAGATTCCTGAGATGTTGTTTGAGGCTTGGGACGCACCTCTGTGGTTCAAGCAGACACAGGGGGGTTGTTTTTTAATGCTGTTATAAAATCTATGCCATCCATGAGAGTTTTTCCTTGACAGTGCTCAGAACTGCTCGTGCAATTCTAGAAGTACCCAGTAATCCTTAGCTGCTCTTGTCCATAGAAGTGCTCTTGTAAGTACTCTACTCAGTTGATGCTGTCAGAATAACAACCTGCTTAGGCACGTCTAGTGTAAATAAAGTCAGAAATTCTTCTGGATGTATTTTCCATGTTGGGATACATTCCAGGTTATAAGTCCAGGAAAAAGTGCTAGGTTTTACATACAGTGCTGAATGTAAAACAAAGCAGGGATGAAGAATATTCTTTTACATTGCTTTTTTGGATACTGGCCTTGATGTGTCATCCAAGGAAAATGTGGATGTTGTTGGTGTGAGTGGGAGAATGATGCAGGAATTTATCATGTTTGGCTATATGGAACATGGTAGTATCAAGAAATCTGAAGGACTATTGTTTTTCTGAGCCTAAAATAAGTTCCTAAACTGTGAGAATATGTCTTATATGAATTGGGGGGGGGGGGGGGGCGCGCGCGCACACACACACACACACTGTGTGGTTCCTATGTCGCCTGCTTAAAAAAGTGACTGATTCATAATCTTAAGTAATTATTTTATTTATTATTTATTAAAAGCTTTTCTATCCCATCCCCTACAGAATGTCTCGGGATGGCTAATTTAAATAATTATCATTTATTATTTAAAAAGAAAAAGGGTGCAAGTTGAACCAACTTGCTGACTTTCCTCTCTTAAGGCAGTATTTTCTGCATTTAAAAATGGTAAGTAAATTCACATAAATTTACAAAATTTGCAGACATCAGCATCTGAAAAGTATTGCGGTCTTTGCACAATTTGCACAAATCTCATGAAGGCCACATGCTTTTCAGGGAGCAGGTAGTGCAAAATGGCTGAATTTGTACCAATCATGCTAGATCCACATATTTTCCAGGTGCTGACTTGTTCAAAATGCAGAAAAAATATGATTTGCACAAATTCCATATATTGGCACAAGTGCCACAATATCTGAACAGTTATCTAAATTTCTTGAGTGTATACAAAAACAGCCCACAAACTGCAGCCTGTCTTAGAGAAAAACAGAAAACCACAACTTGTCCTTCTTCCAGTCAAACAAGTGAGACTTCCCAGTGTCAGTACAACCCTAATGCATTGTTTATCATCTGCCTTCATGTATAGGGATCTAACATACTTTTTAAAAAGCCATGTCAACCAATTATTTTATATATAGCCTTGATTCATTTACAAGCAGTTCCTCCCTACAGATCTGCCACATGCCTCAACTGCAATCTACTACACTCTTTTCTGTGATTTACAGCACTCATAGCTAAGGATTTCTTCTGTCCTGTTAATAACAGCAAATTGTGGAATTCTTCTGGCGACATGCACAAACATCCACCCAAGACTCTGCTGAAACCCTTCAACTCAATTTCTCACTTTGACCCAAGCCACTTTGGAAAATCATGTTTCCAGATGTGACAGTCTTAGCGCATTAACCTTGCTGCAAACACCCAGCCCTCTGCCATCTGCTTTTACAGCACAAGCGACTGGTAGAATTGCTGTAGTCACAGACGTGCTTGAAATGAGACACAATAGACAAGAACATATTCTCCCTTAACAGTTGTCTTCTTTTCTGACTCCATCAGATGAGTCTCTCAAGAAAATTATAGGCAAGAAGCTCAGTGGAATTTTAGTATTCACATTTATTGTCTTGATGGCAGAAAAGTAGAGAATAAGAGCCTCTAGTCTTCATTTGCCTACCTTATTAACACCAGCAATTTTCACTGCCTTGATTATATGTATTTTATTTGGGCATTTCTCATCTGATTCTTCAGCACACAGGGGCTCTCAGAAAGATTCGTAATGATTTTTAAAAAGATATTTCACATAAGGCATTCCCTGCCCCATTCTCTTCTATGGCTCGAGAATGTATTTTGCATAAAGAAAACCACCTCGTCTGCACAGATTATAGGGCAGGGTAACTTGTACACATAGGCCCTGGGAAAATAATGGGCTGATTCACATGTAACATTAAATCAGAGTAGGCAATGCTGTGGTTACTGGCAGCAGGGATCAAAGCAAAAAGACTTCCAGCCTCTACTATTTTTGTTTCCTATGAATAACTCTAGACCACACCTGCTTGTCAGAGACATTCTTGGGAAATCTAGATAGCAGATGAGTGCAGGCTGATGCTTTCCCTTGCTGAGTGTGTACCTACCAGAAAAAGGAAGGTGGGAGGGAAAAGAAGGAAGTCTTAATATGAAAACTTGGTTTGGGAAGGGGAAAGAGGGCAGCTGAAGCTAGTATACTAAGTGGGGGCTGGCTAGGAAAGGTGGTAGGAAGCAGGTGGAGATGGAAGAGCAGCAAGAAGCCAGCAGGACTGAGCAAGCTTGCTGGAGCAGCATGGGATTTTGGAGAGGGTTGCCTTTTTGTATGTCTGACTGGATGGGGAATGCAGTTTGCATGTGTGAAAGAGAAAGCAAAGGTTAAAAGTAGTTGTTTCACATGTTGGACCTCAGACTTGTACTTTATCCTCTTACCAGATTACTTATCCTTTGTCCAATGGGAGCCATTGGTGCAAATCAGTTGAAGATCAGAATCTTCCCTATCAAGATTTAAACTTCCTTGCCCAGGAGGATGACAATATTCTCTTCCTCAGCTGACCTACATGGATCGGCTGACTGGATCCTCTGAAAAGGGTATATGTATTTGCATGGTGTATGTGTGTGGGTGGATTTGTCTGTTTGAATGTCTGTGCATGAAAAAACAAGTGAGGGAATTGCATGCCAGCTCTGCCTCCACCTAGTTTTGCTGATGGCTCATTTAACTCCTTTATTCTCCATCTTGCTTTACGAACCCTCCACCCTTAATGCCATGACTTATAATAAAAAGCAGTCGATCTAAGTCTCAACCAAGCATCAATGCATTTGAGCTTACCTCTCCCTCTGAGCACCTACCCTACTCTACAGTAGTCTTTACAAATCAAGAGGCAGCAATTCTGCCCAACATACCTGCAGAAATGTTCTGCACATTTGCCATAGATGAAAACTTGCTTTGTGAAATCCATCTTCTTACCTCATAGAGTGTAATTATCCCATTAGTTTCATTTGGAGGCTTCCACTGAACATAGATCTTCTCTTCAAAGGGTCCTCCCTGTATGGATTCCAGGGGGACAGATCCAGGAACTAGGAAAGAAATGAGGAAATTATGTAAGTGACCTTCTTCCATCTCCTTCTCCTAAAATGTATATTCACTAGAGTCACTGCATCATACACTGAAGAAGATACTGTATTTAGAATTGCTTGAGTTTAGAAGATATTTAGAATTGCTTGAGGCATTAATGTTACAACAAGACTGTGAATCTAGAAGTTTCTTCCTTGGTGTTGTGAGTAATGGAAGCAGTGCTTTTTTTGTAAAACAAACAAAAAAAAAAGGTGCCAGAACTCACGTCTTGGGGTCACACTTTTACACAATGGTCGCCGCCGGCTGAGTCAGCACGTGACCACACGACCGATCCCAAGCCAAGCAGCGTCCCAAGCCGAGCAGCGCCCTCACAATCAGCGCCGACAATCAGTGCCGACACACAAACAGCCCGCAGGCACTAGGTTAATGATTTCTGCTGCCGATCGCCCAAGAGGGCGATTCACAACCATTTGGAAAAATCCGTCAAAAAAAGGTGACGGAATGCCATTCCGGTGTGTTCTATGACAAAAAAAGCCCTGAATGGAAGTGATTGTCCCAGGGCCTCAGAGATAGCACTAGTTGTTGGTGTTTCTATAGCTATGCTTCATAGTTTGAAATAATCAGTTCTTCTCTTTCCAAGGCATTCAACTTGTCAATGAAGGCATAATCCCAGATCAGATTGTTTCAGTGGCTTGGATTTGCTATGTGCCTATTTACTGGCCCACTGACTTCAGTTAAAGCATTTACAAATTTAATTCATATGTAGCCCATTAATTCTTTTCTTTATCTTGAACATTTAGCCTCTTAGGAGCATATTAACCTCTTGAATTCTTACCATCCTGGGAGTGTGGAGGAATGGATCAATCAATCAAATCAGCCAATAGCAGCAAGGGATACTTACTTGCTCAGCTCAAGTTCCTGCTGGTCACTGTTGCCTGGTATTCTCAGTTTTAAAAATGCCAGGGATCACCAGATGTTACCATGGTGTGGCTTTGTCATAATTTAATGATTTTAAACACACTTCAGAAACATAAGGTATAGTTGTTTAGAGCTGCACCAAAATAATTTTGGCTCATATTTGGAGACTGCCATGCAATCCACTGTCCTCCACACAGAGACTGTGTCAATGCACTGTGGTGCTTAGATTGCTGCACTGGATTTGTGATATGTAGTGTCTAGTCCGCATTTACACACAAAGCTCACTGGATGATTTTGGGGGAATAATTGATTTTCATCCCTATCCACAGGAAGGTTGTGAGGATAAAATGGATAGGAAATGGGTCATATAAACTGCCGTGGGTTCCTTGAAAGAGAAAAAAAAGTAGGATATAACTGTAACATAAATATTTTAACTGTACTCAGAGAGATAGCAGAATTTTTCTGCTCCCAAACTGGTCCCTGAAGTAGCATTTTTGGGGCAGAGTTTCTGTGATTCCATATCATATTTGCAGTGTTATGGAATGCTATTGCTGAGATGCACATATTGCTCATACACACAGGTGCATATATTCATGTGTGCAAGATGCATGCATGCACACGTGCATTTTGCCTATGTATTTTGTCTGTGTTAATTGTACAACTTCTGCTTCAACCATTTTAATTCATGAAAACTTCATTTTTCTTACCATCCTCCTCAGTTTGTACCACAAGTTCCTCACTCTCCATCTTGCCCTCTGGGTTTGAAAGTGCCAGCCTAAGTCGTATGGTCATGAAGGGTCGCAGTCCTCGTAAAGTGTAGTGTGATGATGTCTGAATTAGTTCCTCTGCTTCATATTTCTGCTGGTTGAAAACATACTGGTAATGGACTGTCAGGTTATAACTGTGGCAACGGGTCACAACATAACCAAAGGGCTCCCATTGCAAAGTCAGCTGCCGAGATCGGATATCAACAACCTCCACATTCTGGGGTCCGTGCACTGGATCTGTGAAGCAAACATATGGTCCTTTAAACAAGCAGCAATGAAACATATGTATTCCTTCTGGCTTGCATGGCATTATTTCAGCAGAACATTAAGATTGTGGGCATTATTTCAGCAGGACATTATTATTAAGCATTATTTCAGTAAGTAGCATGTTTATTCATATGTTTAATTACATTATCAAAACTCAGATAATTTGATAGTATGGACATATACATTACAGTGAAAAAATCTGAAGGTGGCACAGGATGGATTCACTTTTCCAGGGTGATAAATGCTAGAAGAGCAAATTGTCAATAATTTAGCTTATTATAATTTTGTAATAGTAAGGTGCCATTTAGATTTCTTTCTCTGGGACCAAAATGTCCCAACCACTCTTATAAAAGTCATTTCATAAGTACTAGACAGGAACATTAGACATTTGTGCATAGATGAATTTTATGGTCACAGAAACGTGTGCATGTATACGTGTGTGTGTGAGAGAGACTGCAAGTATGAGGTGGTTAAGCATTATTACTGGAAGCTTTTCAATACTGTATATGGCAAATCTTAAATATTATATTTTAACTGCTTACTATGAATGCACATATGGAGATGCATAATGTAGTGAATGATTATATATAATTTTCACTCATAATTCCTCAATTTCAAGATGCAATTAAAATATACTGCTTGTTAATTCCATCCTCTCCCAGTACAAATGCATAAAAACAACACTACTTTTGCTAAGCACCTCAAAAACAAAACCAAGGAAACTCATAGTCTTTTATTCTGAAAAGCCACATGTGGTGCAAGGAAGACAATTTAAAAATTGTTGAGAAACAGAACACACAACCCTTTCCCTGCTTGCTCATGAACAGGGAATAGATGTGTTGAACAGCTGGTGTGCTGTTTCTAGCTATAAGATGGATGGCCGTTTTTTTTCAAAGTCTCAATATAGTCATATTTATTTTAAATTGTGTTTTAACAAATACAGATATGGCTCCAAATAGCAAACATGCAAAATAATTGTGCTTCTTGTGGATCAGAAAATAGGCTTAGTCAATGTTACCATTTAAAGAAATATTAATATAACTCTTGATTTTAAGGCTGTCACTTTTTTCTGTCATTGTCAATGTACCTTTAAAAGCTTCATGGAAAGCAGGGATGTCCAAGTGTTAAATTGCAGTATTGTGAAAACATAACCTTGATACATTTTTTCCACCAGGATTTAGCAGCATTTAAAGGCTCTAGAATAGGGTCTAACCCCAACCCTAAGCAATGTTTATGTGCCCTTTCCTTCATGAAGCGTATAGTAAAATGTGATTGATTGATTGATTTATATCCTGCCTTTTTCCTACAAAGGGCTCAAGGCAGCTTAAATCATTCTCCTCCTCCATCTTATCCCCACAACAACAACCCTGTGAGGTAGGTTGGGCTGAGAGTCTGTGACTGGCCCAAAGTCACCCAGTTGGCTCCATGGCTGAGCGGGGACTAGAACCCAGATCGTCTGAGTCCCAGTCCCACGCTCTTAACCACTACACCACACTGGCTCTCACAATGTTATATATGCATGTGCAGGAGTAAGACCCACTGTGTGATTTACTCATAAATGAGTGAATGTAGAATTGTAGTCTTAGTAATTTTGCTTTAGGGATCTTAGTAAGATTCTTGCTTTTGGAAATACTCATGGCTTCTGTCCCCCCAGTTTTCTCAGCATTTTACCTTCTCTTCTCTTATTATAAAGCAGCAGTTTAATTTAGTATGTAGTCACAGTGAATTTATTCCAGACAGCAGCAGTACAAGAAATCAAAACTCTACATATGCCTCTGTCTAGTGAACTGGACACACAAACTACATTCAGGGAAACACATGGCTAGAGATGCACTTGGACAGACTTAAACTCATGGGAATGAAAAGGTAATACAAGCATTAGGACCACATGGTTTGGGGCCCTGATTATGACATCAATCTGTCTTGAGGTTGGCAGGTAAGACATTCTTCTGGAACGCCATCAAAGTTGGAGTGTGACAGCCAGCAAGTGGCATTCAGTGGTGGAACTCCATTTGTGGAATTTTCTCCATTACAAGCCTTATGTAGTAACTAATTTATTTTTCCCCAAATGTTTTATCCTCTCAAGCCTTTTAAATTGGTTGTAGGGTAGGAAGCATTTTTAAAAGATGTGTATGCATTCATACATTCAAGCAAGTCTTCCAGTTACATGGAACTCTCGTCTAGGAAAGATGGCCACAAAACAATTCAAAGGGAAATAAGATGTTTCTGGGATAAAGGGCACCCAAGCAGGCTATAAGTAAGACAGTTCCCATTTCAATAACGATGTCTAAGAAATGTGTTTCAGTTCATTTTACACCAAAATTTATCCAGTTTGCACTTCCCAGAACTGAATGTGGACCCAAACAACCTGCAGCCAAATTCCATACATTTCCAAACTTGTTATTCAATAGGTACCGTAAAAATGTGATTGAAAATGTGTACATTGGAAAAGCATGCATGGAAAATATACATATTTCAAACGTGCACACACTTTAATCAATTGGTGTCAACTGCATAGCACATCAACTGAGGATTTTTGTGCACAAAAATATGCATGAATTTTCATGCAAAAAGGGGGAAAGCAATCTGATCAGGATGAGTCAGAAGAAGCTTCAAGGTGGAAATGAAAATCTTTCTGAGCTACAGTTTTGCTGTTTCACATTCCCCTACCATTCATGCAATATAATGACAGAAAATAAGCTGCCCAATAGTTTGACTACTTGGATTCACCTGCCATGCCAAGCCATTTGTGAATGCAAGCATGTTGTTTTTCTCATTTTATGAGGCCCAGTATGGTACTGAGGCTAGAGTGCTGGACTGAGGACCTGGAAGGTCCAGATTATAGTCTTCGCTTGGCTATAAAACATGGTGACTTTGACACTGGGTGAATTTGTGAGGATAAAAGGAAATACATAAGCTGCCTTGTGTTCCTCACAAAAGGAAAAATTAACTCTGAAATTCTGCACATTGTCACCCTTCCCTGTAACCTGAGCATGAACTCAGCAGCCTGGATTTTGAATTTGAGTAGGATTCATTTTCTCCTTTGTGGATATTTGGGCTTCCCCATCCTGCCTACCTGGTACTGCTATAGGAAGGCACCAATATATTAAGCTGAAATTCACTTCTCTTTTTATTAAATAGGTCACATCTGGCAGGGCCAAAGTAAGTAAAGGAAAGGCAAAGAAAATTGGTGCATATGCTTTGTCATCACTTAGGGAGTTCTCTGTACCTCAATTGCAAGGCTACCGTGCAATATGGGATTAGGGACTGGCACAGTATGGAAGCTTCAACCTCTGCTTGGGCTCTTAATTTCTCAGTCTAGGAGTAATCTGTCATATGTGATTCAAAGCTTAATTTGAGACCATAGCAAGGAAGACTGTAATCTTCATACTCCATCACACCAAAATTGTTTGTGTAGTCTCCCAGCCTTCTAGGTTAGGCCCCAGGAATTAAAAGTCCTGTTTTGTTTGAAATAAGTCTTCAACATTCCATTCTGAACATCTGCCCAAATGTAACTAAATAACAATACATTCACTTGCTTCAGTTAAACTAGCATAGCTTTCTCATGCAGAGACTTTCCATACTGTGATTTCTGTAATACTGCAGGAAGCATAACTGAGTAAGCGTGTAAAGCAATTAATCAAAGAGAGATTCTTAGCATGAAATTTCTGGAAATAAAATAAAAAAGGCAAGAACAAAGATCAATCTTTTTCCTCCCTTTAGTTTACCTTAGAAATTGCTTCTTATGCTATCCTTTTATTTATCACAGATGTGAAGCCAACAGGGGTTTACAGAATATGAACAATAAATATTTCGACAGATGACTAACAGGCAATTAAGAAGTATACTTTTCTGTAAAAGAGTAACCTTTGGAAAAACAAAAAACAAGGATAGAGCACTTCATGCTGAATCAAAGGAAGTGGCAAACTAAGTTAAACACCTGTTCCAGCTTTACCTGAAGAAACTGATGGTAGAGCTTGAACTTCAAGCCACTGTGCCAGTTTGAGTTATGGAGTATCTATGATCATACAAGGAGTGAACAGAGGCATCATCCATGAGTTCATTTGATTTAGTTCACTGCTCTTCCTATTTTACTCTTCCTATTTCCTTATGCGTTTGCTGATTAGGCCTGTGCATGGGACCTGACTTTATTACTGTACTGTGTTTTGGTTTGAAAGCACTCTATAAATAATACATATTCATCAATTACTATTAATTATTCACAGTGATTATATAAGATGATGCTTATCCAGCCCCATATTAATTCCTATGTCCTGTATTTATGCTGTAGGCTCTCAAAGCTGGAACTCACATGATACCTTTTTTTTACTTCTGAGGTGTTTGCTCAGGAGAGAAACAATATCTACTGGTGGTTGTTCAAACTTATTGGGCAGAAACTGTCCCACATGGCTCACTACATGTCCAGACTTCCAACTCTCACCACACTGCCACAAAAATAACGGACAGAGGATCATATCCAAGAATGCCTTCATCCAGCAGTTCAGACAGCTCTGGTAGATTGAATCCTTCTTCTTCTGTATGGCCCACAAATTTGTGCAGAGGGCTGAAGGACTTTCTAAAGCAGATGTGGGATGTGTGCAGGAGACAGGTGAGGAGGGGAAAAGGAAACTCCCATTGCACAAGTGGAAGTCTGGTCATGTAACATTGTATATTAAGTCCACATGTTTTCCAGTGGTATTGTGAGAATTAGTGTGGGGAAACCAGCTTCCTTACATAATGCATTCTTCGTGTGACCAATTTTTAAGGGTAGCAATCAATTGGCTGCTTGATTCTTATAGACTCTACTATGGGACCAAGTTAGATTACTCTGGTGTGGTATGAGATGCAGTTGAGGGAAGGGAAGGGAAGGGAAGGGAAGGGAAGGGAAGGGAAGGGAAGGGAAGGGAAGGGAAGGGAAGGGAAGGGAAGGGGTGTCAGTTCAGGGTTCCACTATCATGCATGGGCTAGAT